GAAATGCCAAGATCTTAGAGCCTTGGAAAAGGAAGAAAAAAGTTAGAGGACCTACACTCTCTGATTTCAAGATTTACTATTAAGCTGCAGAAATCAAAACAGAGCAACATTGGCATAAGGATATAGACTCATAAATCAATGAACCAGAATAATCCAAAAAATAGACCCACATATACACAGTTAAATAATTTTTGACAAAGGTGCCAACGTAATTCAATAAGAAAAACAGTGTTTTCAGCAAATGGTGGTGGAACAACTGAAGATCTATTTAGAAAAAAATGAATCTTGACCTTTACCTCATGCAATATATAAACATTAACTCTAAATGGATCATAAACTTAAACATAAAAGCTAAACCTATGAAACTTCTAGAAGAAAACAATAAAAAAATCTTCATGACATTGGGTAGATATGTTTCTAAGATAGGTTATAAAATGCACTAGCTAAAAAAGAAAAAATTGATAAATTGGATTTGATTAAAATAAGAAAATCCTGCCTTTCCAAAGATACCATTTCAGAAAAAAATTTCAGAGCTTTACAGGCTATCAAGCATTATTTAAACTCCCAAAGGACTTTACAATTTTTTGAAAGAAAATGGCATTCTCCCCACTACAGGAGCTTCAATCCTTCTAAACAAATAAACACAAATATTTATTTTTTGTTCATGTGAACCAATGGAGTGCATAGTGTAAAAGGACCTTTGTTGAGAATGTTAACTCCCAGGACCAGGCCAGACCTGGTGACCTATTTATCTAAGGCAATCAATGCCATTGTAGTTAGATGGACTCCAGAATTTGACCAAAAAGGAAGGCAGAGGTCAAGGCAGAGAAGTGATGGTGAGTATCCCGTCCAGCAGGTAAAGTGACTGTAAGTGGGGGAAATGAATCACCAGTTCTAAAGCTGGGCAGAAGCGGAGCAAAATGCAAAGGGAAAAAGTAGAGGGCACGTGGGTCAGGGTGATTCGGCACGGAGACCCAGAACAATGCCAGTAGTGATGGAGCCCATTTCTAACATGCATTGGTGCTGCCTACTTGACAGCTGAAAACTGCCAGACAGGGTCAGACATACTTGATTTAAGACCCTGTAAGGTCTGGCCCAGTTTAAAACCTCTACGTATGAGGAACATTGATCGCCAAAGATCTCTCTGTCAGGCATCAGTTGCCTGCACAGCTGCTATTGCAGTTCTCTTGGCTTTATCTGGGTGGCCTTTCATTCTCTGCCCCACACTCCCTGTGATCGCTGCACGTATGTAGCACTGACAGGCTACACATTCACCTTTTCCATTTCCTCTTCCTGGGCACACACGTGGTCTATATTTCCCAGCCTCCCTTGAGTTAGGTTGTGATCATATAACTGGGTTGACCAATGGAATGTGGGAGGAAGTGACGTGTGCCACCTCCAGACGTGGCCATAAAATGCCCCTTGTGACCAGCCCCATACTCTCTCTCTCTCTGCTCATCAGACAACTGAATGCGGAGGATCAAAGGGAAGACTCCAAAATGGAAGAAGCTTGAGTCCCCCTTCCAGGACAGTCCACTGAAAACACCCAATCAGACCACGTCTCAGGGAGATAAGGAACCTGGATTGTACTACGTCACTAAGAGGTGGAGGTTGTTCCTTTCAGCAGCTGGCATTATCCTGACTTAACACAGGTCTAAAGAGTTCCCCGTGGAGTGGCCGGGTGGCTCAGTTGGTTAGAGCGTGTGCTCTGAGCAACAGCATTGACTGTTCAATTCCCCACATGGACCAGTGAGCTGCGCCCTCCACAACTAGATTGAAGACAACGACTTGAGCCGAGCTGCCGCTGAGTTGCTGGTGGGTGGCCCAGATGGCTCAGTCGGTTAGAGCGCATGCTCTTAACAAGAAGGTGGCCGGTTCAACTCCCGCTCGGGGTGGTGGGCTGCGCCCCCCACAACTAGATTGAAAAAGGCTACTGGACTGGGAGCTGAGCTTGCACCCTCCACAACTAAGATTGAAGGACAAACACTTGACTTGGAGCTGATGGGTCCTGAAAAAAAACCAACACACTGTTGTGAAAAAAAAAAAAAAGAGTTCCCCGTGATAGCTTCCAATATAACAGGAAATGTTTGGGATGATCAGTTTAAACAGGATTTCCATAAAAGTGTGAGGGTTGCACAGATGTCTCAAGGCAGAGCTGGTGAGACTCAGCAAAGGTAATGTAGTCACCCGGATGGTGAGGCAGGCTTTGAATGGAGGGTTGTCTGATTCCAAAGCCTTTGCTTTTCTCACCCCTCCGCATTACCCCAAACAAAGGTATTTAGATGTTTTGAGTGATGATCATTGTGATGAGAGACACTAGGGTTCTGTGTAATTTACTCTCTGGCACATTTGTTCTCTAGAATACTGCAGAGCATCCACCACTTCCAACAGGCTAGGGAGTTTGCATATAACGACACCCTATAATCTTCACTTTTATATCAACATCATTCTCAAGTGCTCAAAGGAGGGTAGTTAAAATTATTATCATTTTCTCCAGCCAGCAACCTAAATGTTTACCAGCCTGGTAAAAGACTTTGGGGACCATGCTATAAATGTACAAGTCTTCCTTCTCCATCCTCTCTTTCCTTCCCATCACAACCATTCCAGGCATGAACAAGGGTCTATGTCTCTCCTAGCTGAATAATGCATCTTCTTTCTCCCTGCATTGTTGAAGGGGCAAGTGACAGAACCTCCATATCCTAGTTTCCACATCTATAAAGTGGAGGTACAATACATAGCACATAGAATTGCTATGAGATTTCAATAAGATAAGCAAAAAAACGGTGGCATGTGGTATGCTATTCATTTTGATGTATGGTCCTCCTCCCCCAGCACAACCTTCACTGTTCTTACCAAACATCAAATGATTCTATTACATTGTCCATGTTTTATACGAGGTCGTGTCAGCCTTGTATGTCTTTGACCTTGAACTCTAAATAGGCAGAAAACCCATGGTTGCCAGATACTTATTGGTCCCATGTACCGTACTATTCATTCATTATCCTCCCACCACAATAAGAGATCATTGAATATTTCCTGTTTTAGGAACTTTATGCAAGGAAGCTTCTGGAATATGATTAATTTCTGCCCACGGGGAGTATCAGAAAGATGATTTTAAAAGGCATGGCAGGGGCGGCTGGTTAGCTCAGTTGGTTAGAGCACAGTGTTCATAACACCAAGGTTGCCGGTTCGATCCCCGCATGGGCCACTGAGGTGCAACCTCCACAACTAGAGTGAAACAACTACTTGACTTGGAGCTAATGGGTCCAGGAAAAGCACACTGTTCCCCAGTAAAAATGAAATAAAATAAATAAAATGCATGGCAGCTTATTATTATTATTATTATTATTATTAAAAATAGCACTTAAACATCTGACTACAGGGATACATGCTTATAGTAGAAACATTATAGATAAAATACACACACAAAAAGATAAATACCCATGCAATAATCACTGTTATCTTTTTAGAACTTATCCTTCTAATCTTTTTCTATTACACAAATATACGTTTAACAAAAATAGGATTATTCTACACATACATTTTTGTAACCTGCTGTTTCCTGCCTAATAACACATCATGAATATGTTACATGTTCTGAAAGATTCTTCGGTGGCCTAATTTTGAATGGTGGCTTAGTGTCCATTGTCTGGGTAGATCATGATGTTTTCAAAAAATAATCCACTAATGTACAGTTAGGTTCTTTCCAATTTTTCACCATCATTAGCAATAAACATCTTTGTACGTACCCCTCTGCTGACATCCTTAATTATTTTCTTAGAACCCACAAGTAGAAGTTTACATCAAAGGAAGAGCACATTGTCAAGGCCTTTCCTGCCCATTGCCAAGTTTTCTATTAGAAAAGTCATACAAAATCACAACCCACCAGCAGCGTAGGAGAATGCTATAATAAAGGCTTTTGTCCAAGATGATGATTATGAAGAAAAAAAATAATCAAGAAGATAAGTGTTTGCTAAAGGCTCACCCCACGCCAGCTGTGTTTATTTGTTGAACTCTATAGCCATGTTTCTTGGTCCAAACACTAAAGGTTCTTTAGACTCTTTGTTTATTTAGTGCCTCTTTCAACACCCTGAAACTTTGACCCACATTTTATCTTCAAGGAAGGAGATTTCTGGTATATACAGTTTCCAGTTTGGAAACTCTGCCCGAGCACTTCCATCCCTCATCCCCGTGTGGACCACCTCTGGGGTTTTAACTGCTGGGAATCGGTCAGAAAGGGCTGCCGCTGATTTTGGAGCTTAGAACTGAAGTGCTTATAAGAAATGAAAGAGCCCAGGTTTGGGGTCAAAAAGTCATGTTCCGAGGCACAAAGGAAAAACCAATAACAACCCAAGAATTTGGAGTTTCCTTTGACCCGCTCTGATAATATCCCTATGGTGATGATCTCTATAAACAGTTGCAAAATAGCAAGATGAAAAGGAATGAGCAAATTCCACGCAGGCGATCTGGAGTTATTTTAGGGATGAAGGCAGTGTCATCTGGGGTAAATATGGAATGTGAAAATCTGTTCTTTTAATAAGCATCCCCTTCTCTTTGGGGCTGAGCAAAGGCCTGACCCAGCATGTTTGGGACTGAGGGGGAAGTGCGGCCAGAAGAATGGAAATAATGGTTAAAACCAGATGCTGAGACAATTCGTCTCACACCCTTGGCCTCTGAGCCTCTGCTGGTGTGGAGTCCAAGGGTGGAACAAGGGTGACGTTCTTTGGAATGACTGGCCCGGTTGAGAGGCTGGGATGGGGACCCCAGGGAACTGAGCTTGGTTGTCTGCCCCTGACCTTGATTCCTGGCCCAGAGGAGGTGGAGGAAAGCATCTTCAAGGCCACAGTCTGTCTCTGGGGCATCACCATCTGCTGCAGATGACATCTGCCACTCCCCTCCTCATGCTATTCTCTTTGAACCCCTGACTCAGCGAGCCTCAGTCCAAAAAGCAGAACTAGTTATTTTTTGCACTGAGAAAAAAATGTCAGGCAATCCACTTGCTGAACTCCTCCCGGGCCCTGAAACTCTTACCCTTTGCGCTTAACCCCTTGTTCCTCCCTTCTCCTCTTTGCTCCCTTCTCCTCTAGACCGCTAACTTGCCAGCTTTTCTATCATCTCTAGTGAAGATCCTCAAGAGAAAGGGTTATTTGGCAGCCATGGAGGCTGGAATAGTGCCTGCCTGGCACACAGAAGATTCTCCATAAGTGTCAGTTGACAGGAGCTGAATCGAAAATCCCATGTTTACCCTAAAACGGACATTGCTTCAGCAGGCCTGAGACAGCGACTGTTGGTTCATTTACGCATTCAACAAATATTTATTGAGCACCTACTTAGGAACCAGAGCTTCTGCTAGGGCCTGGAGCTACAGGGATCCCAGGGCCCTGTTTTTATGGAGAGTACGTCCTTGTCAACCCGAATGTCTGAGTGGTAAGTACAACTGTCTTATCATAGCTCCATCTCTGACCGTTGGACATAGCACTCAACCCTTTTCTCTGTTTTATTTTCTTCCCAGCATCTATCATCACACCAGGGCATAACATATACTTGTTTGCTTTTATCTGTCAGTCTTCCCACACAAAAGTATATCCTCCTTAAGGGCAATGTGTCCGTGGTGTTCACTGCCGAGTCCCCAGCACCAGCCAAGCACACAGTCAATGCTCACCAAATATATGTCAAATCAATGTGTTCAATGAACTCTGCAACCCTCTAGAAGAACTTTCTAGCAGAAATCTCTAGGGAATGAGTTGAGAAGAACTCCAGAGGGCCTAATAACAACAAATTACAGATTACAACCATCCAGGGCTTTACAGTTTATAAAGCAGGGAGGTGCACTGGGGTGAGCATGGGCCTTCACCTCTCAGAGCCCTGCTTTCCTCCGTGTAAGGTGGAAATACCTTTGGGGAAGGTTGTGATACCTGCATAAGGTAATGTGTGTGAATTGCCCAACCTGAGACCCATTACACCGTCCCCGGTGTTCCATGCCATTGTTTATTATTCGAGCTTCTGAATTTCCTGTGGACATTATTATTAATTACCACCATTTAACCAACAAGGAAAACAGAGCTCAAAGAGGCTTAGTAATTTGCTCCAGGTACCTCAGGTGGGACTAGAACCACCCCCCGCAGAGGGGCAGAATTCCAAATGCAGTGCCTTCCTTATCTGCCACCCCACAGCTGCCAGCTCTGGGAGGAAAGCACATCTTATAAGTTCCTCCTGATTCTTCCTCTGCCCTCACTTTGGCATTCCCCATTTTCAGTCCTTCTACCCATACCTGTGGGGAGAGAAGGGCTCTAGGGAGAAGCGAGCCTGATTGTGCACAGGGTTAGTAGTCGAAGGATGAATTCTCCTCCTGCTCATCTCCCCAGTCCATTCTGCAGCGTCCTCCAGTACACCCCTACTTCTCTAATGCGTTAGGGACCCTCAGGCTCCCAGCATCTAAACTGATGGGGCCTCTAATCCAATCAAGAGGCCATGAAAGTTATTAGCATAGACAAATAAGAAATCTCTCGAAATTTAGAAGTCCTCAACTCCTACTAGATTATAAAGACTACCAATAATATATAATATAACATATAATAATTATAATTTTAAAAATAATTATAATAGTGTTAGTTGTAGTTCACTGAGCACCTCCTCTGTCCCGGGGAGCATGGGAAGCAATTTACAAACATCCAGTTCTGGAAAGGCAGATGTTATTGTTCCCATAGTATAGATGAAAAAGTTGAAACCCAGGGAGATGAATGATCTTGTTGGAGGCCCCGTAGCTACTAAGTGGTGAAGGCCCAGGATTTAAACCCAGGTCTGCCTGCCTTCAAAGTTCAGGCTCCTCCTGCTACACAAAAATGTGGGGGGAGGGTAGTTATGTGTACTAAGTCACCTGTTCCAGCATCACCCTGAAGAAAATTGGAAACATTCTAAAACATGCAAAAATTGGGAATGATTCTATGAATTATAGTGACTGTAGCCAGCAGAATATTTTGCAGTTATTGAGAATATTGAAAATATGACACCGAAAAGTACTTATGATAAGTGGAGAATGTAGGATACAAAATGTACGTCTGTGGAGATTACAACTTATAAATATACATGCGAAGTATAAACACGCATGTGTAAAAGACTGAAAAGAAATATACAAACATTATCATAGCTGTGTGGCAGGATTTGGAGGGATTTCTCCCCCGCCCCCCCCCCAGGTATTAGCCTTTCTGTAATGTGGTTACATTACTTTGCAATTTGCAAATTTGACAAAACTTCTAAGACACTCCTCTCAGAAGTCTTGTATGTAGAGCAGATAAGCCAGCATGCATTGTTTTGAGTTGCTAACTGAGCAAATGACTTTCCTTTAACAACTGCCCCAACCCCATACACCTGCTTGCTCCCAACCTGTAGCCTTTCCTGCACACTTTGTTGCCCAAGCAACCACTGGGGGCTACTCCCAGCCACTTCTGTGTCTGTCTGCTAATGCTATGCTTCCATCTAGAGCTGCTCTATCTAATATGGCGGCCATTGCCACCGGTGGGCATTTCAATTTAAAGTAATTCAAATAAGTCATTCAGTTCCTTAGTCTCCCTGACTGTATTCCAAATGCTCCATAGCCACATGCAGCTAGTGGCTACTGTAGTGGACAGTATGATATGGAATGTTTCTACCATAGCAGGAACTTCTATCAGCACTGATCTAGCATCTAGACTGGAGACTATCTCTTGAACTCTAGAGCAAGGATTCCACAGCCACTCATTATCAATGGATTGCCTGGACAACAACTTTTCCATCCTAAAATTTTACTCCCATTTCTACTCCCCAGAGATCTCAAGGGCCAGAGAAAATTAAGTGTGGCCCCTCCCTCTTAAAAGGTGGTGTCTCCCAATCATAGCTAATTAAATGCTTTACAGAATGAAGATTGATAGGAGAGTGGGAAGGGTTAATTAGAGCACCCTTTTTATTATGAATGTTACCAACAGAAACCATTCATTGATGTCTACTATGTGCCAAGTACTATATATATATATTTTAATCTCCGTTAATTGTCACAACCCTGAAAGGTAGGATTAATATTAAGATGAGAATATCGACACTCAGAGAAGTAGAGAAACTTGACCAACTTCGCCAGCCAGAATCCGTACCTTTGGACACCAAAGCTCTTTCTATTACACCAATGCACCTCACAGGGGAGTCCACATCTCACAGAAGGATTCTGATTGGCTCTGCCTGAGTAGCAAGCTTATTCCTGGACCAATCATGATGGAAGGAAAGATCGGTAGCATGGCTGGCCAGGCCTAAGTCATTGTCCACCACTGTACGGGCAGGGACAGTGACTGAGGATCCCATTTGAACCACCTACGATCAGGGAAAGGCAGTGACCAAATAGGAAAAAGGATGGAGCAAACTGAAACAATTGCTATTCACTGCATTAGCCCCATCATTATAATTCCCACTGGACCTACCCACATGATAATCTCATTGGTTTTCCAAATTATTTTAGTGAGAATAATAACAATGGCTACTATCTTTTATTGAGCCTAATTGCCATGGATGTGCTTTTTCTGTGCATTACTGTTGATCCTCACCATTGCACACATTATCCTTCAATAATGTTGGACTTGTTTTCTTATTCTGGGTAGAAATAGCCGATCAGATCTTGTTTCCTGGACACTCAGACTTGGCCTTGCTAGGCTCTCTGTGGTCGGTTTCCCACAGCTGGCCCGCCCCATGCATTATGCTCCAGGCTAATTCAAGTCATCCACATATTAAACATCAAATCCTTTGTCCTGAAACCTACACTCCCCTTTGGGAGTTCAATGAATAAGACATTCACACACAGGATTACTCATTAGGTTGGGCGCCAAAGGGCCAACTCTAAAACAGAACTTAGTCTAGGAGACTGGACAGTGGGCCGGAGGCTGGACCCGATGCCCTCCAGAGGGCTCTGGAGAGCTGAGAGGTCTGCATTTCAATGGTCAGGGGAGAAGAAGGAATGTTCCCGGGCCATGGTTTCTCCTTGGATGGAATCCAGCCTACACAAGAGCCGCTTGGGGCCCAAGTTGTCTAAGTAAACACTGATTCCTTGACGAGTTTCCAAAATCAGGAACGTAGCAACTGTTTGGTTTGAACAGCCTGTGCTCTGTAAACCACTGCCTGCATATCACCAGGGCCCCGTGTAAATATTTTAGCTACAGATTGGAAGAACACGGCTTTTTTTTTTGAAATCCCATCATTTCATTGCTTGACTTCTAATGAATTATGTGTTGTCTCTGTTGTTGGACTTAAAATGAATTATATGTTATTTCTATTTATTGGGAGGTCCAATTCTCTACTTTGATTATAAGTGTCTTAGCTATGTCTCTACTGGGTCTGTTAGGGTTTGGGGAAAGCCCAGTAAACACTACGCCCCTTTTTCCTGCTTGAATTTGGAACAAAATGAAGGGGAGATGTAGGAATCAAGTAGGTAGAGATGAAAATATAATTTTATTACCAATAAAGCTGGTTGTGCAGAAGTTGGCTTTAGGTGTATGACTAAGGGGGCTTTGAATTCCTCACCCCAGAATTAGGCTGCCTTAGCCCTGGACTGGGGTAACCTGTGCCTCAGGGGCAGAGTCTGCCCCTGCAGGACTTGAGGCAGAGGAGCAGAAGAAAATGTGTTGCCAGAGAGAAGAAAGGAAGGAAGGCGCTGAACTGAGCATGCCCGGTTCCTCCCTCCAAACCTGCCAATCAATCAACTCCTCCTCTGGGAAACAGTAAGAGAGGAGACCAGGAACAGCTGAGATGTTACTGGGATGAACTTCCTGCCACAGGGAAACTTGAAGCCAGAGAAAAGGAGGTTCTCCACCAACAGACACCTTGATGAAGAAGGAAGCAAAGTGGAGATCTGGTCAAAGACCCCCAGACAGAGCCTCTTGGCAAAGAAGATGCCAATGACAATCGCTTGAATCAGAAAAAAGAACTTGATCTTGAAGACAAAATTTAGCTTCAGGCACAGTTGCAACAATACTGGTAATAGGCCACATCATAGGTACATAAACTAAGACTGGAGAGTATTGCTTCCATTATTGCTCAGTCACCACCATTGACATCATCTGCCGGGAACACTCCACCCTCTGCTCAGCAACACCTACCCGTGACAGACAAGGCCTGTGTTACTAACACAGCAATGCATCCAGTGGAAATTAGCATTGTGAATTTCAAACCCGACCCTTTATTCGTTTCCTCTCTTGGCTATGAGGCAGGATGGATTTCTCTGGGCTCTGTACCCTCTCTACTTTCTTCCCATTCTCAACCCTGGAAGGAGATGAGAAGGCAGATCTTTTAATATAATCATGCTGCAAAGATCTACAAGAATTTATTAATACTGGTAAGACAGACATAGGTCCCTTTAGCCATAATCACAAGGGGTTGTGGCTAGACATAGTCACAGGTCCTGGGGGAGGGCA